CTTTCCTAAGAAGTAAAAGTGAAAGAGGTTGGGAGGTAATTTAACAAAATGTTAACTAACTAATATATATATATATATATATATATATATATATATATATATATATATATATATATATATATATATATATATTATTGATAGTTGTAAAAACGTTCATGAACGTATATTTCGAAAACACATCCTACTATGCCGAATAGGCTTCATCAGAATGCGAAACAATGAGTTGCCTGTGCATGTATTTTTGTATGATTAAAATAATGAAATCTTATTATTTTTCACAAGCTGACGTTGCTCGTGACTAAAAAGAAGAAAAAAATGAGGAACTTTTTTTAAAATTCATTAAAATTTTAAAGCCTTTTATTGAAACTAGATTTGATTACTCGTTCCGCCTTTCTAGGCTTCATCAGGTCCAGAAACGAAAGAAAGAAATATGTGTGTGTATTTGTCTGTCTAAATTAAATAATAAATGATTAGCATTTCCTTCGTTAAATTGGCGCTTCTCGTGATGAAAGAAAAGAATGAATATGAGTGAAGGCGTTAATATTTGTTCTGTATCTTTTCTTTATAATTTTTCTTTCATTTCGAAAGTCATTAATATATTTTTCTCAACTTTTCTCTAACGTATTAAAGGTAAATCCTCATCTTATTTTAAGAATGACTCGAAAGCAAGAGATTCACTTCGCCCTTTCCGAAAATGAATTTCAACCATTTTGAAAAATTGGATGAGGATTTACATTAAATTCAAGATACAGTATAAATATTAACGGCTTATTCTTTTTTTTTTTTTTCATCACGAGAAATTCCAGCTTAGGGGAAAAAAACTATTATTCATTACTTAAGAATACACACAGGCATATTTCTTTTTTTCGTTTATGGATCTGATGAAATTTAGAAGACGAAACGCTTAATCATATCAATTTCAATGAAACTTTTTTTATTTATCAAATTTCTTCAAAATTTTGCTGAGATTGTATACCCTATTTTAAACATACACACACACACCCATACACACACACACACATATATATATATATATATATACATATATATATATAAGTTATTTGAAAATTATAACATAAATATGTTATAAAATCACTACAAAAATATCCATTTTGTTTCAACACTGCTGGTGTCTTATCAAGTGATGGTGTTGAAAATACATACATATACATATACATATATATATATATATATATATATATATATATATATATATATATATATATATAGGTAGTAATTGTTCTTATAAGTTTTATTTTATTTTAAAATATAGATAGTCTACGTCTACTGAATTTATCTATCGTCTGTTACAAATGCAAAACATGTGAAATCGAGGCCGTGTCAAGTTTTTTGACTCACATGAATCATTTTAGGGGGTGTGAAAAAGTGCAGGGGAGAGAAGGAAAGAAAATCAAAATGTTTTATAATTAGCTCACTTTTTTTTCTGGAACCAGTTTTGTGTAAACCCCCCAAACAAGCAATCATCACTGAGAAATAGGGGAAATACAACAGTCTGCATTAAATTCTGTGTATGTCACACATCTAAAGAAAGACGCTAGTATGACTTGGTCTTTTAGAACTCAACAAAGCCTACGCCAAAACATAGCCACTACCAGACTGGACAGCTTCATGCAGTCTTCTCCACACACGAACTCGATTGTCATCCCGAAAGGTCGCCTGACGTTAATCTCCGATAAGCTCCAATACATTAGCTACAACTACAATAACCCTCTTTTGTCAGCATGAGTCCCTTTCTATAAGTGGAGTGGGCAAAGTCATTCGGTGTATTGCGGTTTCTAAAATTTGTACACTTCAGTTTATATGAAAATGAATGATTGGCCCCTCAGCATTATATCAAGTACGATGGGAGAATTTTGTTCACTTTTACTTTTATTGTTTGTTATTTTTATATATGTTTAATTGGTTCCCCCCCAGCTAAAGTGAAATAAGTGCTTTTCACACCACGTTTCACGGATATTTTACAGAAAATAAAGGCCAAGATAAATATTTAAAACAGTATGTGTTCATGAATGCAAATTTATGCATACAACCGCGCAAATGTTTCACACATACGAGATACGCGCCTACTAATCTTTCTTTCTTTCTTTCTTTCTTTCTTTCTTTCTTCTTGATTATCTCATTCTGTTTATATCTATCTATCTATCTATCTATATATATATATATATATATATATACACACACATATATATATTAATATATATATAGATATGAACAATATATATATATATATATATATTTATTTATATATATATATATATATATATATATATATATATATATATATATATATATATATATATATATATATCCCATTCAGTTTATATCTATCTCTCTATATATATTGGATATTTTGGGCAGCAATTTTTCGTTTACACAAGTTTTGTTTTTCTATATTTCGTCACATTTTCTCGGTTTCGCGAGGAAATTTGAATGTAATTCATTATTTTTTACTATTGTTCTCTCAATAGAATGCCTAAGTTCCATTGGAGGTAGAGGCTTACTCAATGACAATCTTGTAAGAGCGTCCATGTAGGCAGCAAGATTTTCATATTATGAGGATATGTTGGATACATAACGGTTGATCCTCGTGTCAAAGAGGTTAAGATTCTATTCATCTTTCGAGAGTTAGTTCCACATGGCAACAGTTCTGGAGAAGAAACTGTTTGGGTGGAACTTCCTCCTTACCAATGGAATATGAATGGAATGAGGATAAGTAGACTCAGTGTCCGTGGCATGGTGGGTCCTAGCTGTAAATGTTTGGACTGGTGGAACATCTGAACATCTGCCTTGAAAATAGAAATAACAGTGCGAGGTTAGTAACATTCCATCCGTGGGAAAAGGGTTGAAGAGTGGAAAACAGGCCCACAGCACAAGGCCGCGCAAATGATTTTGAAGTTGGTCGAGGCTTGAAAGTGAGAGTTGGATCGCACGGCTCAGATGTGGTAGCAATATGCCGTTTTTGGTTTGATCTGGTTCTCTCCCTTCATGAGAGATGTATTGTATTTCATTTAGGATATAAATTCTGTAAGCCTATACTTTCTTTTCACTCAAATTCGAATGACAAAACAGTGGAGAGATATTGTCAATTAAATACCATAATCTATAATACCTCATGAGTGGGTGCTGAAGGCTATTACGGTAGTCTGAATGGTATGTCTCTGCTAACCATCCACTCCGTTCCATTGTTCTCGAATGCTATCTTTAAACGGCTCGTTGAGATCCACACATCTCCCATGACAACAACTTACCATAAACCAAAGGATCCAAGGTTAATATTTTATGCAAGGAATATAACATAGCCTCTTTCTTTCTCTTTTTTTTTTGGGGGGGGGTGTTTAAAAGGTCGACTTGTACTCCGACATATACGTTATGTTTATATAAGCGTACATTGAGAAACGTTGAAGATACAGGGACGTTTTGTTTTAAATTTAATTTTTTTTTATACTTTTGACGCATAACCTGATCAACCTCATTCAGTTTTCTATTGTTTTTATTTTTATTTTTATCGCTAATGTGTTTTTTTTTTCATATGCTACAATTCAATCGTAATAATTTTGTAAGAAACGGAGATCTGTTGTATGATCCTGGGTGTAAATCTATCGTGGAAGATTCAGAAATTAGTACGCTTTCTATAGATTTTCACCTTAAAAAAATATTCTCTCATTTAACAAAAACTGTATTCTTTGAGTCGATATTATGGTCGAACCTATCATTCTGAACAACTAATGCATTGGTTGACTTGTTATGCTTTATCACGTGCGTTTTTGTATAAAAATAAATGCCTGGGCATCTCGAATATTTCCGCAGATATCAGGCTTTATCCCTGTTTTATTCATTTAATCCAACGGAAGATGTGCTGTCTGAAGGTCTAATCTCCGGTCGATTATTTTGGGACTCCTCATCCTAAGGCTGGCCTTGAATAAGGCTAAGCATAGCAGATATTTCAATTTAAGATGGACGCTTTCCAAGGGAAAGTGTACCCATCAGCGACTAACAATTTACGGCATCTTATGCCAAGTCATTTACGTATGCATATATTTGCAACGAAACATATGCAGAAACTGCATATATCACATATTTATAGAAACAAGCAATCAGAAAATTACCCTTAACGCATGCGAATTCATCAATATATCTACATATATAAGGATGAGAGTCATCACCTTCCTGAACCTAGAAATATGGGCACGATCGAATATTTTGTTTTATTCTTTCTTCGAGTTTGGCTCGGACTAAATATTTCTGAAAGATTCGCTTGGCAAGAAGGGGAATGAAGAAAGAAATGGCCTGAAGGGGAAGGGGTTTCGTTAGGAAATCAGTTGCTTACAGTTAATCAATTAGGAAAATTGTATCTATCTATCTATCTATCTATCTATCTATCTATCTATCTATCTATCTATCTATCTGTCTATCTCTCTCTATATATATAGGTATTGGTATGATAAAAAACATACATACACGCACGAAAAATTTTACGTACCTATAGATATATTTATTCTACAAAAGGTATAAATACTGCACCTGAAGATTGCAGCAACTGCACGAAACTCCGAGTCATGCTATCGACTTTGGTTATTATATGCACTAATGAATATATATATATATATATATATATATATATATATATATATATATATATATATATATATATTTCTCAATCATAGTGGATGTGGTTACAACCATATATATATATATATATATATATATATATATATATATATATATATATATATACAGGGTGCGGCAGAAATAGCTCCCACATAATGGTAAGTCATCAGATCAGATAGATAAAGACATCATTGCTACCAAAGTCTTAGTCCATTATTTATATACACCTCGGATATTGGATGTGCGCGTAGCATCAGGGTTATCAGCACAGAAAGTGAGATTGGTGATCCGAGTTCAAATTCTAGCCAAGGCCGTTACGTTCACTTTCGAACAAATACCCTTGGAAAGTCCTGAATCCATCTTGTCGCGGATTACGGCCATATCACGATGAAACACCGGTTCCCGTCCGATCACCGATGTTAAGCAACGTCCAGCCTGGTCAGTACCTAGATAAGTGACTGCTTCGGAATACCAGGTAGCGTAAGTTTGGATATGTAATGGAAAACGTCTTGGAATGGGAAATCGAAACACCGAGTTCGAATACCAGTCGGATTCGTTACCTTTACTTACGCGTAAATACCCTTGAAAAAGAGTATGAATCCGCCTATTCTCCCCATAGTATGGGTTAAATAGTAGGGTTTGTGTCTTGAAATCATTATTATCTCCCCCAAAAATGTTATTAAAATATTCACTCAGAAAAAAATGAAAAGAATTATTCTTACAATTTAAAAATATATTTTGGTTTTAAATAACCTGTAAAGGATTGATAAATCGTAAAAAAAACGAAATCAATTCATCTATCCATCTCTTCTTTACTCGGCTAGGGGTTACTAGCAGGGCAAATCAGGCTCAAACTGTTTAATAGAAGAAAACTGAATTCAAAACCGTTTGCACGTAGAGTTTGTAACTCCATCCTGTAAAAAAAAACCCCTACTTGCTAGGGAAACCACAGCAGCAACATTTACCGTCGTACATCTGTGACAGAATTAACATAGCACAACAATTTGGATATTTGCGTAACAACTAAGAACGTACACAATCATCTCTAGCTCACCTTATTTACGTATTTATTCGATTTCAGAGCTTTCCGGATACAAACCGACTCTGCGCGGAAGTGTCCCAAATAAATTAATTTTCCACATTATCGACGTACGTGCAAATTCGTTTCTTCACCTCACAAACATGTATATAAACCTAAATTTAACACAAGTGAGCATGCGCACTAACACTTCGAAGTAAGCAGCTATTTACATCATAAGAAACTTCGTTGCTTTTAAAAACTTAATGCTGATTATACGCTTTATTCAGCATTTGGTACCAGATTAAGACTTTGGTAATATGATCGAGAAACATTTTTTTATTCGTGTTCATCTAATATAAGTCTCAAGAGCAACTCAAAGTAGATGGCCACTGGATGAGGTGTTGGATATATGAATGTAAGAAGAGGAAATATGAAGTGACTATTAAGATTAAGGAGATAGATAACGGTTGACCCCTGACTTAAAAACGTTAAGAGTGAAATTTTCGGGAAAGAATCAACATAGAAGTCTATTCCACAAAGCAGCGGTTCTTGGTTTAAAAATGAGTGAAACTTCCTCTTTAAACGTTAGATATAAACATTGTTTTTAAAATTAACGTACGTCGTGCGGTAGACATTATATGAAAGCGGTAAAAAATTGTTTTTAAAGTGGTATATCTAAAGTGCGAGTTTCGATTTATAGAATAATAGATCTGTCCTTTATTTTTGTCATTTCTGCGATATGTATCTCGGGCTATTGAAAAAGTACCCCGCACAATATTGGTGATTATTTTAGGTGTTGCGAGGGGATTAACACAGTTCTTAAACGTTGTTTACGAGCCTTTTGAAAATTGTCGAACTTAAGGAGCACATCGGTCAGCATTGAAAGAAATGTATCTTTCGCGTCATGCTCTACAAAGAAAAGTAATTTTGGAACGAAAATCAATCACGACCAAGGTTATTTAATCAGCTCCCCACTATGTCAAGATATGACACGAGGTATTTTTAATGTCAGGCTGCCTTCGAGTAATCCAAAAAATGTCCAATGTGATGCTGGCGGCAAGGTTACAATTGACCTCATTTCTCTTAGTGCAATGAGGAAGATACTGCCACACAGATGAGCTCTCAAATGTAAAATGTGGAGAACAGATACCACACTTTGGTCCAGGTCAAAAAACAGGGAAACGTTATTCACCTCTTCTCCACACCAATGTCGTTTTTTTTACGTGGGCTGTCAATACACATGCCTATGGGCCAAGAACAAGAACTGTCCAGTCCTCGTAACAACTGCCAAGATGGTGTCGATGTTACGTTAACCCTAGACCTCTTACTGCAGGTTGTGGTGAAGGTTTGAGCTTCCAGAGACCAGGTGTCTTCTCCAATTTAAAATGAGAGAAGATACCATGCTTTAATTTCGGCCAAAAGGCCAAGAAGCAATGAAAAATAGATTAATTAGAAGAATACAAAATGAATAAAAACATGTGTACTTCCAAAGTAAGATCCAAAGACGAATTCTTTTTCTTTTTTTATAAAATGCTGGAAATTGAAGAAACTGTTGTTTCACAATGTTACCGTGAACAATTGGCTTATTTAAACGACATTACTTGAAGGAAAAACACAAACGTTTTCTGAGCAATAATGTCGATCGCTGATTTTGCTGCACGTCGTGCATCATTGGTTTACAAATGTCAACCAGAAAACGATTCTAGAGCGGGGATTGGTGGTATTTCCATATGTAACAAAGTTTCACAGACCTGTCTAATTTATTTCAAACATTTGTCTTCCTCTATTTCAACGACACAAAAGTCAATGTCTGACAAGATAGCCACGGCGAATGAAAAACAGATTACTTG